GATGGCCGTAGGTACGGTGTATGGGAGTTAGAAAACTTACTCTAATCAATGTCTTTCCTATTGTTTTTTTTATTGCATAAGCCGGTTAACGAGCAGACGGATCACCTGATGGTAAGCATTCGGCGTCGCCCATGGACACCTGGAACACCAGAGGCGTTACAAGTGCGTTACCGGCCTTTTGGGGTTTAGGAGTTTGAGGATCGTTGGGGATTCAGGGATTGAGGAGGTTGGGGAAGGGGAGGGTAATTGGGACTCCGGTAACCTCACTCACACGACGAAACATAACGCAAGCGTTGCTTCACGTCAGTTTTCTGTGAGGCCGTGGTATCACTCCGGTCGAGCCGGCCCATTCGTGCCGAAGCATGGCTCTCCCACACTTCATCATTAAACAATTTACATTGTATCTGAATGTCTTCATAGTCATAAATTACATTGCCATATCGTTTTCTGGAGTAGTCTTTAAGGGCTTTGTAGGGTCACAATTACCCTTACAATTTGTTCTTCATGCTGCACTTGGGAGCAACTAGAGGAGCTTTTTTCAATTTACCGATCCTTGTGTAAGTTTAAAAGACTTATTCCGTTTAAAACAAAATGCTCTCATGTTAAGGTAACAAATTTGCCTATTATATGACATACGTTACCGTTTAATAAAACACTTGTATCATTATCAGTAAGTTCACTTTCTGATAAGCCAACGTACTGTCCATAGTCTCATTCATCTGGTATTCATCGCATAAAAATTATGGTGTAATTTACAGCACGTATCATAATAATGATAGATGTACATATTTGCTTCTCTAAAAATGGCTAGTCATGCTGCATCATCAGAAGTGTGTTTAAAAATCATCTTTGAACTTATCGAATTACATAATAATTTTGAATGTCCCAGTTCACAACACATTATTAGTTTTAGTGCGGTCCACGCATGCCTCAAAGAGCCATCAGACCACCACAGATGGGGCCCAATAGGGCTGATGCCGATACGGAGCCGCGGAGAACTTAACGGGTTGCCGGGGCTCCGGCTTGAAGTGCAGAAGTAGGAATGGGGTGGTTTTTAGTCAGTAAGAGTAACATTTCTTCTCGCCTCACCCGGAAGGGAGAAGTCATGGGATGATTTTCCCCCCTTAAAAAAGAGAATTTACCTACAGTGAATCTAGATATTAATTATTAGATTTTTCCGCTTACTCACTGTTGGACGAGGAAGTCGACTAGTTTCAAATCATGCTAGTTGATCATATTCGTAAGCAAAATTCCTCGACACAACGCGGCGACTATAATGTGAATAGGTAGATAATTATATTTTGTCAATCCCATTCTTATGAATTCCAATAACAATACTTTACCAAAGATAATATCTTGCCTGTAATGAACTTAGATATCATGATAACTCTGCAATTAAATAATTATATTCATTGATTATAAATATAAAAGATTTCAAGCGAGAATATGCATCAAAGCAATAATACAATAAAATATCAAATCCAATAAAAAGTTAACATTACAATGAAACAAATATTACTTAAGATGGACCTACAAACCCGAATATCCGACAAGGTACGTAATAAAAGTAACTAAAAATAAACATCGATAATGTTCCCACAATCGATCAATATCGAGTCGAATATTACATGTACCATAAAATAATTCTAATCGATTTCGAATACGACTTTCACTGTCAGTATTATTCCATCAATCTACAAATATGTATGCGTTAAACCACCGTGGCAAATGTTCGTTAGCACTGTCCATTGCGCGTTTCGTTCTACATGCAAATATTATCTATGAAGTAAACAAGCCATGGTCATGTTTGCCAAATGTTTGGTAGAGAAACATTAGTATTTTGTTTGGCGATTGCATTCCACGATTACGTCACGCCGTGTTCAATGGAGTTTGTATGTTTTTGTACTTAAATGTAGACTTTATTTTGGGGGTGATTAAAATTGTATTTTGCAAATTAATATTTATGGTTTTATAGATAGCGTTACCTATTAATTTAGTTCCTGGCTTTTTCAGAATTAGTTTTGGGGCCTTAACCAGGTTTGGCCTAATGTTAATATTTTTTATTCTAATCTTCATGATTACAACATATCCCCTGATTGACTAAATCTATCTAATCGTATTCATAAACAATTGAAAAATTAACAACATCACTCCTTTTTACGAGGCCTGTTAAAATAACGCTTTTCAAA